GATGTTCTTGTACTGGTTACCTTTTTATCTCAGCCAAACAAGTAAGTTTTGATTATCATTTTCTGCTTGTAAATCCAGATTCAGACCATGTTCTTACTTGTTTTTATTTGCAGCTATTGGTGGAGAGTACGTGTCTGTGAAAACAGCAGGAAATCTTTCCACACTATTTGATGTTGGAGGCATTGTAGGAGGGATTCTTTGTGGTTACATTTCAGACAAATTCAAAGCAAGGGCTACAACTGCAGCAGCATTCATGTATGCTGCGATTCCGGCAATGCTTGTGTACCATTCCTATGGAGGTGTCTCTCAGACAGTCAACATCCTCCTCATGATGGTTGCTGGTTTGTTTGTCAATGGTCCTTATGCACTCATCACAACCGCAGTCTCAGCAGATCTTGGAACCCACAAATCTTTACAAGGCGATTCAAGGGCGCTTGCGACTGTGACTGCAATTATTGATGGTACTGGATCCGCTGGTGCGGCTTTGGGTCCGCTTTTGACAGGGTTTCTTTCCACTTTGGGTTGGGAAGCTGTGTTCTATATGTTGGTCGTTGGAGCTCTTTGTGCTGGCTTGCTTTTGACCCGTCTGGTAATTGCTGAAATTAGAGAGAAACTTGGATATGTTGATGAAGGTAATAACCAAATCTCTTTTTGAGTTTTGTTTGGCTAATCAGAGTGATCCCAATTGCAGAAACATTGATCTGACTTTCTCTTTTGTTTGTTTTGCAGTTCCTGCGTCTGAACCACTGTTAACCGACAGAAGATGATGGAGAAGACAGCAGCGAGAGTCAGTGTGAACGGAATCCATTGTTTGCTCAAGAGTTTTGTTCTGTTATATAACTATGAGTTTGCCAGAGGATCTCACAGTTCGTTGTATTCTATGTTTTGTCAGATATTGTGATTTTTTTTTCATCTCACAACAAATGAAGGAATTGGCTTACAGCTTTCTTCCTCTATTTCTTCTCTGTTTTCTACAACACTCAAAGCAATCTTTGCATGGTGGTGTTTCGTACTTGTAAGAGGAAACTAATTTGAGTTTTTCGGGTGAAACTTTGAGATCTTCTATGATTATCCTTCGAAGCTTTTCGTTCTCTTCCATTACTTCATCGATGAGTTTCTGATGTTTCAGCACCTACAAAATCAATTTCGTTACCATTCGAAAGATAAAATAATGTAACAGAAAGAAGAGAGACTTGAAGTCAAGAACGAGACGATACCACTTGAAGCATTAAGCTCTCTGATTCCAGTTGTGTGACCTACCGATGTCATGAAACAAAAGGAAGTTCAACGATGGTTTTCTGAGATCAAAGCAGGGAGGGGGAAACGTTCTCTGATAGAATCATTACCTGTTGTTCTACCGCAGTTGTGTCCTGTTGTTTCAGAATAGGGTTGTCGAGAAAACTGTTGATCACTTTCTCAGTTCGAGTTCCAAACGTTCTTGAATCAGTAGAGGAACCACTGTTCTTGAAAGCTGCTTTTGTGTCCATATGTTTCTTGTGACCGGTTACAGATGGAGACACCTGGTCTTCAATCTCGGTTTGACTTGAGGTGGTCTCACTCGTTCTTCCAAGTTTAGTCATTAAGTTCGATGCAGTTCCCTAGAAAGATTCATACTCATGGTTTTATGTGAATGAACAAACTAACAATTAAGGACACTTTTTGAAAGACTTGTACTTACCATAATAGAAGCTTGAAGTTTGTGTATGGCACTTGGTTTCACTGCGATGCCTGTCAGTGATTGATATAAGTTAATGATAATAAGAGAGATAGTTCAAACAAGCAATTCAAGGGATGCTTACACAACCAACAAATCCAATTAACTCAACTGTTCAGAAAGTAAACAACTAGAAGCTCATGTATCAAAAGTCAAAACTGCAGAGCGTTTGGAACAGAATGGAGAACAAGAAGTTTCACTTAATAACGGAAATATACCAACTCCAAAACCATGACCGAAACCAACTCCACAGCCAACACCTGCTCTAATGTTCTTAGCTCCAAGCTTCCGCAACTACAGATGACGCAAGTACACAACCAGATTCAGAATAGCATAATGCAGGAATATCGAAAAATGAGCAAGAGTAACTGGAGAAAGCAGGAAAAGACAGGTTTGTCTATACTGTACAGCGCCATTGACGTGGTGTGTGGCACCCGAAAAAACATTGGTTGCTCCTCTAGCTGAACTCATAATTTCCCCCACCATTGGAATACTACCTGAATATGTAAATAACAACAAAATCAATACGGATTAGTGACTTCACAATCATGATGCTGTGAAAGCCAAACCAATTGGCAAAGTAAATGACACACGATTTTCGACTATGAGTGATAGCTTAACACTGCTTTCATTTCCGAGAACTCTGATGGAAAACTTCTTCTCTTCTCCAATTAGAGATAGATTGGTTTGGATAAAGTACAAAAATGACCATAAAACGAAAATTCAATCATAATCTGAACCGACCATAATCATCAGTGGCAACAACACACTAAGAACCAAATCAAACTTGATTTGAATTTACCCAATTCGCAGTTCAAGGTCTCAGAAATGCAGCAAAAGGAAAGAGAGTATTATATACCGAGATTCAAAGGTGCACCACTACCGATACCAACTCCACAACCAACGCCAAATCCAGTGAAGACTTGAAGAGCTTTAAAAGCAAATGGATTCTCAATTTTCATTCCCCCATTAGTAAACCCTAATCCTTCCTTCTTCATCACCACACCATTGCTGCCGCCGCCGCTTTCCTCCATCTCTTTTCACTCTCTCACTAATCTGAAGATATGATAATGGGACTTCTTCCAGAAAAAGCTAAGAATCCTCCATTGATTTGGTTTCCCGCCTGTTTTCCATTGGCGTAGTAGAAGTTACCGAACTGTTGAGAAAGCAAGAAAGAGACTCGGAAAATGAGAAAGAGAAGATGATTCAGCGTTCTATGTTCCCTGGTCGATAAGAAAATGAATAATGGGCCTTACTGATAACTTTTTTTTTCATTAGGCCCATTAGATTCGAATTAGTGTCTCTTTTTTTTTTTTAATATCGTATTGAAACTTTCTCGTCCACGCATCTTCTGGGTTGGCGAAGACACGTCAGCAATTCAAAAAAAAAAAAAAAAGACGTATTTGTTGTGGTGTGGCCCTTTCTCATTTCTTAACCACGTCGTCGACAGACACTAACCGATCGTGTTACGTCTCTCTCTCTCTCTTTTTTTCAGTCTCTCCTCACCGACGAAGATCACGGCTCTTTTCTCTGTTTAATCGGCGTAATCTCTCGTCTTAATTTTTTATTCCGGTAGATCGATCCAGCTACGAGATCAATCATGAATCCTGAATAGTAAGAACCTTCTTCTTCTTCTTCTTCTCTGAATGTTCAGATCGATTATAGCTTCTTTGAAATTTGTAACTTGTTAATCTGTTTGATCAATTTCTTGATTTGGAGTCTCGTTTCGTGGATTGGAGTTTTGATTAGATCTAGAATAAATATTGGTTGAGATCTGTTGTTTCTCTTCAATACACAGATGATTCTCCTAGTTTGAAAATTCTAGGGGTGTGTGTGAATCCATAGTCGATTTGGATTATGGTGTTTTGAGATTGCGTTTTGAATTTCGGGATTCTGAAAAATGGCGTTTAGAAATCTATGAGTTTCTTCACTATGTTTAGCACCTATGAAATATGTCTTAAACTTCCTAATATAGCTGGAGAAATATCAAAAATGCGTTATCTCTTACATGTGTCTTATACTTCTTTTGATTTGCAGTGACTATTTGTTCAAGCTTTTGCTCATTGGTGATTCTGGTGTTGGAAAGTCATGCTTGCTTCTAAGGTTTGCTGTAAGTAATTGCATATCTCTCTCTTTTTCTATATTTGCCACAACTTTTTCTCGGCCCTTGAGGATCTGGACACCAGCACATGTTCCGCATAAGTCGTTACAATTATCGAGATCACCTACTTTATCATTAAGCTCTATTTCAGTTTCTGCCTCTTTATGATATTGAATACACAAGTAGGCTTCTCTATTAAGTGTCAATGTTGATCTTCTCAAGTGGTGTCTCAATTTGTTTGTATGTGCAGGATGATTCCTACCTGGATAGCTATATCAGCACCATTGGTGTTGACTTTGTAAGCCTCGTCCTCTTTATCTATTGGTCATGCATCAATCATAAAAGTTCTAATTTTGTTATAATGTTTTTGCAGAAAATCCGCACAGTCGAACAAGATGGAAAGACCATCAAACTCCAGATTGTAAGTTCCCGCGACTAGTGTCAATCACTTGAAATTGTTGTATGTGCATATATATGATCACTCTCCTTATTACTATCACCAATTATGCAGTGGGATACCGCAGGCCAAGAACGTTTCAGAACGATTACTAGCAGTTACTACAGAGGAGCTCATGGAATAATTGTATGTTCGTTATCACACTTACATTATCTCCCTGTTATCTGACATTCATCAATGAAACTGAACTGTTGTGTTCATTTTTCATTTTTGTCAGGTGACTTATGATGTAACAGATCTAGAAAGCTTCAACAACGTCAAGCAATGGCTAAATGAAATCGACCGTTACGCCAGTGAGAATGTTAACAAGCTACTGGTTGGGAACAAGTGTGATCTCACATCACAGAAAGTTGTATCCACTGAGACAGCCAAGGTAATATGCTTCAGAAGTTCGTCACAGTTAAGGTTCTTTGACACTTTTCTGTCTTCTCTTAAGGATTTACTGTAATGGTTGTTCTGTGTACACAGGCTTTCGCAGATGAACTTGGAATCCCATTCTTGGAAACAAGTGCTAAGAATGCTACCAATGTCGAAGAAGCTTTCATGGCCATGACTGCTGCAATCAAGACAAGGTAGCGCGCCAATCATTATTGTATTGAGATCATATATTTTTATTACACATTACAGACCAGCAGCCTTAACCGAATTTTGTCTTGCAGAATGGCGAGCCAACCTGCAGGAGGATCTAAGCCACCAACGGTCCAGATCAGAGGACAACCTGTTAACCAGCAATCAGGTTGCTGCTCCTCTTGATTGTCTTTGGTAACACTTAACCATATTATTATTCGTTTGCATGTAAGAAATCTAAACAACGTTGCTTCTTAAATCTTTTGTATTTGGTTTTTTAATTTTTCACTTATGTCAAAAAGCTTTTAAATTCTTTGTAATGGTGGTACTTGGATTAATAAACTCCTTTAGTAAAAAGTTCCTTCTGCTTATGAAATGTAGACTAAAAACATACCTAAATAAAATTGAAACCTAAATATTACAAACGAAAAATGGAGAATGGTTGATTTTTTTGCCTCATTGAACTTTAAAACTCCCAAAATTGGGTTCGTAAAACAAAAAAACTCCAGCTCTCTAAAGGGAAGAGTATAACAATAAAAATAGCAGAAGAACAAAATCCAAACCGACAGAGAAATATTACAGAGACAAAAGAGTCCAGACTCCAGACAGAAGCTGAAGGACCAAACCCGAGAGCCTGCCTTACTTACCCAAAGTAGGGAACTGTGCCGTGTCCCCAATGGCCGGTGCCGGTGCAGGTGCTGGTGCCCGTGCAGCTGCTCCTCCGTCCCTCTGGTTTCTCCCGCCTTCCCTTGGGTTTCTACCTCCGTCCCTCTGGTTTCCTCCTCCGTCCTTCTGGTTTCCTTCTCCTCTTGGTCCACGTCCATCCCTTCCTTCCCTTCCACCTCTTGGTCTGTAATTCTTTCCATCCGCAGGTTTCAGAAACTCATTGATGCTCAATGACTACAACATAAGTGTGCAAGCAATGAGAAAGAATTCGAATGAAATACTTAATCTCTCTTTAGTAATTAAATGCGGAAAACATAAGTAAACTAGTTACCTTCCTTGTCTTCTCTTCTCTCTCAGTAACACGCTTGTCCTTCTCTGTTCCCTGATAATACCATTTCAAGGTTCGATAAGCACACACTCAATCATAAATACAAGATACTAATGTAGATTA